TATATCTCACCAAGTACGGAGTGTTTGTCAATAGCAACAATTGTGTCTTTGATTCCTTTTTTGAGCTTTCTAGGTCATACCATTGAGGGCACTGGCTTTTGCCAAACGCAGAAACACTTGATATCATACGAAACTCTCCCACGGCGACTTCTACGAAACATTTGAAACCTGTTTTACGCATTCTTAGCATTTACTGTCGTTTTATTTCCAAAGCCGTAACCATGATATCTCTACTCAAGAGCTTGTTGGTTGGTGATTCGAAGCAATTCCATTTTACAGACGCCACTTTACGAGCTTTCGAAGAACAAATTTTCTCTGGCCAATACATTTAATCACTTCTACTTGCGACTTAATGCCCTGTTGTCGTTAAACGTTGTTTTATCAAATATTACTGCCGGATCCGTTTTGCAGCAAATCGTAGATAAAATTCATTCATCACTTGGATTTTTCTCCTCAGTCTCAGGCTAGCTGAAATTCGCTACAGTAAGCTTGCTTCTGAGTTACCAGATGTATTCGCATACATCCGCACTTTCGACACTTCCTGGAAGCAACAGAGTTCTTAGTGTTCCCCGATCACAAGCCTTTAACACTCGCTCCACAGGCTAAGCCAGACAAGTACTCACCCCGTGAAGGACTTCAGCAAGACTTCATTTTACAGTACACACATATTCCTGGACGACATAGCATTGTCGCTGAAACATAGTCATGCCCGTACTTTGAGTTGGTGAACACATCTTCCACTGACCTGGAACACATGGTACAACCATAAAAAGACAAGACATCTCAGTCACAGGTGAATTACAAACAGCTTTCACTGTACATTCATTCAATACCTCTGCACACTACACCAGGTACTGCTGATAGAGTAATTCCACGAAAATTCCAAGACCACTGGTTTCTTTATCTATGCGAAGAACCATTTTCCAGGCGCTTTATAACTTCATGTATCTCGGCATACGCGCAACTGTCAAATTGATCACCGAACGCTATATATGGCCGAACATGAACATAGACATCCGCACATGAGCAATGACTTGCTCATCATGTCAACGTTCGAAACTCATTCGACATACCCAATCACGCATCGGAACATTCACGCAACCAGAGAACAGACTCGACCATATCCACATTAATATCGCCGGACGCCTACCCTATTATAGTGTTAATTCATACATCCTTACATGAGTCGATCGTTTTACTTGGTGGCCTGAAGCTACTCCTATTACAGACACACGTACAGTACCAACCGCTCGTGCAATTGGCACAAGAAGGAAAGCCATTTTTCGTCTTCCCTACTACATCACTATTGACCGCGGTTCCCAATTCTAATCCCAGCCTTCCAACAGTTGACGGAACTATTGGGCCGCACTACAACTTATGATCCCCAATCAAACATTTTAGTAGGACGTTTTCATCAACACTTAAAAACCGAGAGCCAAGGACACTGTGATCCGACCCAATGGACAGACCTACTTCCGATGATTTTGCTGCATTTGGGTACAGTGTCACGATCGACCCTTCAATGTTCGCCAGCAGAACTGGTTTTCCGTACCACATTACGTAGCACTGGTCAACAGTCCCCAGTAACCAACAGTAACACTAACACCTGCACATGTTACTAAACTGAGGAAGCACATAATCCAACTCCCTTAGTGCGCACCCACAAGTCCATTGAAATCATCATACGTTCACAATAAACCCTCTTTGTGCACTTATGTTTTCACACGCAATCTTCACAACCTCCGTACAAATGGTCTGCAGATGTCAACCATCCAATGAACGAGTTCAAGTGGCTATTAATGAGGCTGGCTGAGAGTGCTCATACTTGAACATGCAGTGTGGCCGGTCTACTGTTGCATCCCACACTTTTGGTGAGAGACCTCGGTGTAATCCAACGCTACGACCTAAAATGTATGGACCAGATGAAAAGGCTTTACCAAAACGGACTTCGTATGCTTTAGGCACTCAATCGCAGCTTCAGTTCTTGGTCCGAATAGAGCACCACTTTCCTCCTCGTCTCACTCCCGATCAAGGAACACAAGCTTGCTCTCCAATTAAGCAGAGCGAGGTAGGAGTCATTGAGTAGATACAGCATGTGGCCTCTGAGCTCATTCCGACCTAAATAAATGGGCACTATAAAGGCCGGTGCAACACACTGGGACCTCACACCCAATCTGGTTGACCTTATCCTGACATCCCAGATATTACATCTTGATGATTACCCTGTGTTGAGGATACTTCACCATTTGCACACACCAACCGGCTCAAGCAAAACGCAACAATGGTATAAGAAGGATAAAATGTCGAGGCATGACATGTCCCGTGGGGTGGTTTGTGGGAATAACGTTAGTTGAAAACAGGTACGCCAAAGTAAAATGGTCACTTGTGAACTCATAATATTATCTACGTTAACACAGAAGTATATCCGTCTACCCCGATTACGTAGGCTTGGTGAGCATATACTTTGTCTTCGTGTTGTCTTCACTCACTGAACAGAATTCAGATCAAGTAATGCAGGCAGTGTAAAGCATCATCGAGTCATTTATAACATACTTTGCGTGGGCACAGAAATGATTTAGGTCGAAAGAGTGTGCTACGGTTGACAAATTCGAAGAGAAATGAACACTGGCGGCACTCCAGCTCACTGTACTGGGTAGCCAGTTTCAGCTTATGACAACACAAATCTGTTTTACGGTTGATTGTTAGGAGTTATCGATAAACGTGATCAGGATTTTCCAAGATATGGAAAGCCAGGATAAGTGCACACCGTAGCCGACGAAGCCATCGGCTGTACAGTCCTAGGGCTTTCAGTCGCATGCGGTATGAATCGGGAACGCAGAATCCGCATTTACATTGGCTTGTTGCCCTTGATCGATCTAACTGCGGGCGTGCCTCGATGCAGATATGAACGCGTTATCACTCAGGGTTGCTCAAGCTGGGATCGCGGTACTCTATGTGGAGCCTCTCACACCTAAGGACAATTGAGGGAGAAAGATGAGGATGATCGCGACAGTATCGCGAAGCCATCTACGAAAGACATACTAATATGTTGCTCGTAGGTTGTTGAGGACGGCTTTCTATGACTGCACGATTGCTCTAACATGGTCGTTGTCTTCCATACACCACCGCCAGATCGGACCGCAGAACTGTGTAGGATCTGCGACTATTCAATACGTGGCGCAAAGTTACGCTAAGCTTAATGCGTAAGTTAGTATGTACAGTGGACATACAGCTCTTGACAATGCGTGAAACACGGAACTATCGCTAACAAAGAGAGTGTAGTTGGCCAGATTCTCATAATACTCGCACAGGTCTTTGGAGAAGGAAGTGGTAGATTTGTATGGGATCGAAGAACGCTTAGGAACACGTCACCCGCGGCAATGTGTGATCTCAGAGTACAGTACACGTGAAGACCACTGTCAGGCTATCTCCAGTCCACTCGCTGGTGTGGCCGCATGAAGAGTCGGGTAGGCCTACTGGGCAGCCACAAAGTTGTGTAGAGACAAGTAGCCCGAGAGCTTCGCACGGATCTAACCGTAGATGTTACTCCGGCGCAATGAAGCTCTCACAATGTACTAAAGTCTCCACTCGAGCCGCAGGCTTTTTAATGAGACGACTAGATGTGCCTTTCAGTGTAAAGGCCGAGAAGAAGATACCAGGGGATATTTGGAGGGGTCAGGGATGGCGCAGACCTCAGCTACGCGCGAAAATATGGGCTAACTACCGACTGTGAGCATGCCACTTGAATGCACTACTGAGGACTTGTAGTCAGACTCCGAGGATCATTGGCAAATCTCCTTAATTGACTCAAAGTTCTCCGCCACATAAGCTATCCAAACTACGAAGTTGCGTTCTTGGGGGGAAAGAGACTAAATCAGGGGTTAAAACTATATGTGTGCGACACCATGGCTAGACCTTCTCACTCAAAAAGGGCGTATGAACTCAGTTTTCGTCGTCGTAGACCACTTACCACATCTCTAAGGATAGAATAATGGGAAAAGCGATAAAACAGACCGCCAAAATGCAAGTGACGTTGCGTGTCCCGGTCTAGCAGTGCCGCACCAGTGAGACATGTATGATCGTTTCACACGGAACTTCCACCATTTTGAACATCAGGCCAAAACGGCTCTGTACAAAGACTAGCCCCTCGGACATGTGCGAAAGGCGGTCAAGATGCATGGAGCCGGGCCACGAACTCATAGTGATAGCGCGTACCCATAGGCCACAGTCCTACACGTAATGCTATCAACAGGGGTCGTTAACCCCAAGTGGTAGTTCTTTTACAATCTGATGCATCCTAGTCACCCACGAACTTGATATTGACGCAAAGACTATCTGAGCACTCCAGCTGTGATTAGCACGTGTAGTTCTGAGAGAAACAATGCAGCTCTCTCTCGCGCCTCTCCAAATGACTTTGCAAGTAATGTTTCAGCCATGTATTTGCAAAAAATGGCTCATCTTGGCTGTGTCCGTATTGGCTATCAATGTTGATGACTAGGTGCGCAAGGAAGCGCAAACTAGATTCATTGTCTGGGGACAATGACGAAATCAGATCTGTGTTAGATCGCAGGACCAAGGCATTGCATCTTACATGCTGTCGATCTCACGTTCGTATATCAAATGTAATTCTTTTTTTTTTTTGAGGACGAGATTGGGCCAGTTTCGCTTGTCAACGCCTGATCGAAGTAATCAATCGAATGTTGTGAAGCGGTATGGAAGGTACGTAACAATTAGGCTTGCTCTGCTCCGTGTGTGTTCGCGCTTTGTGCGCGCTTCGGTCGTTGATCGCGGGGCGGATGACTGTGATGATGTGATTAGGCGACTGATCCGGCCGGCGATAACAGTGTAACCAAACACCCGTGAGTTGGACATATGTCAAGCTGTTGAGAAGCACGATGGCGCAATTTGTCGGGCACATCCATATTATTTTGCTCGCGATCGCGTATAGCTCAGGATTGAGCATGCTATAAGTTTTCCAGGGCGATGCACAGGCCAATAAATCACCAGAGTTTCCTGGACGTGAGGCTCGCTACCTTCTCCTGCTGGAACTCCAGCTCAGTGGCCCACAACATCATGTTTTGTTTGTTACACCGTATATAAATCTGCCACACAGGAACGCAGGCTTTCACCCCCCCCCACTCCCCCCGCCCTGCACCATCCCCCCCTCCCGTCTTCCTCCCCCCCCCACCCCCCTCTACCCCCCCCCCCCAACCCCCCCCCCCTCTACTCTCCCCACTCACAACAGCCCCACCCCACTCCCCCCTACCACACAAAACAACCATCCTGCCCACGCACTGAGTCCTATTCGATTGATCTCGGCGCGATTACCAAATTTCAATTACGTCTTGCTGCGAATGATTAAGCCCCCTAATCCGTGCCTTTCTGATTTTAATAATTGATTAAAACCGAAAAACTACGTAATTCCTCGCATCGTTCAACGGTTTCTTCTGCTTTTCATTAGACTCCTCTATGGCCATCCTTGAAAGTTTGATCCTGCATTTAAACTTCGTCCGTCAGTCAAGTCTTCGCCCTGTGGACGACCTAACCTTTATATATGCCACACGCATGCTTTCAGCGCGTTTTGTTATGCTTCTTCTTTTACGATCTCCCAATTTTGACTAATAACTACTCTGGAGAGTGCTCGCCCTTCTTTTTAACTCGCCTCGACGCTGTCACAGGCACATACAGAGGGCACCGCCTAACCTCTGTTACCCATAGTCCTACGTCTTATACACCCCCAACTTCTGACACATTCTGTATATAGTGCAACCCACCTTTTGTATTTAATCTGCTTCAATGGTTTTTCCTTTATGTAACGTCTCTCCCTACTTTTCTCCTGCTCATATCTACTTGATTTGCCTAATTTTTGGATCAACCGATTTTCCCAGAATCTTATATCATGAGTTCTTTATTTTTTTTTCTTTTTATCCCAACACATTTTCACGTTACGAGTATATTTTTATAATATCGTTTAGAATGCATTTTCTATGTGCTAGTTATAACCTGATGCTTTGTTTATCTTTACTGAATTATTATTCTTTTATTTTGTGTGTAATATTATTGATTATTATAGTTTCTAATTTATTAACTATGTTAAATCTCTTTCTGGCATTAGCCATCCTTTTTGTTGAGCTATATAGGGTTGTGAGCGGCACAACACGAACTGACCGTCCCCCCCCCCCCGCCCCCCCCCCCCCCCTTGTTGAGGCCTAGCTTAACGCTCCCAGAACCCCTCCCCCGCATACCGCACACGGGATAGGCAGTTGCGTAGCTGCTGATATGTTACTAGACTACTGGTTAGTTTTGTTTCCCTTTGCACTCGCCAGCTGGGGTTACTTGTTCTTCTCAGGATTAGTAACTTCTTGGTTACATTCTGTTCTCTTGGCGAATTAAATAGTACATCAGATAATTGCTGGCAACAGACGATGTCTCACACGGTCGGGGTCTGGTTTCTACTGTCTTTACTTTTCCCTAGCCCTTCCTTTTCAACTCCGATCTATTTTATTTTGATTACTATTTACTCTGTCTTCGTTTATTTTCTTTAAATTTTTAATGTCCCAGACTACGCCAATTCTCGAGTCACCGATCATCAATCACAGACCCAACTACTACTTTCCCTGTCATTTCAATAAGGTGCAGTGTCAATCGCTCCTCGTTACTTACCTCCATTATTTCTATATTTTCTCATTTTTGATTTTAGCACGCCGGACTTCTTATTTACCCCCCCTTTTTTTATATATATAAAAATTTTATCCCCCCCCCACCCCCCCCCTCCCCACACATTGATCTTTAACCCCCCTTTTCTCAAAACCTACCGATCTCTTGTCGCGTACCCTCTCCCAACGCTTTACCCACATTATCACACCCCCCACTTACTTTTATAACAAAACCCCCCACCCCCCCCCTCCCGCCACGCCCCACTTTACCAATCTCACTCAAATGTTTATATTCTTCCCCCCCCCCCCCCCACCCCCCCCCCCCCCCCACCCCCCCCCCCCCCCCCCCCCCCCCCCCCCCCCCCCGCCCCCCCCATCCCCCCCGCCCCCCCCCGCCCCCCTCCCACCCACCTCCCCCCACCCCCCCCCCCCCCTCCCCCCCGAACCTCCCCTCCCCCCCACCTCACCGCCCCCCACCCCCCCCCGCCCCCCCCCCCCCCCACCCCCCCCTCCCCCCCCCCCCCCCCCCCCCGCCCACCCGCCCCATCCCCGCCCCCCACACCCCCCCCCCCCAGCCCCCCCCCCCTCGCCCCCCCCCCCCTCCCCTCCCCCCTCTCCCCCCACCCCCACCCGCCTCCCCCCCCCCTCTTCCCCCACCCCCCTCCCCCCCCCCCCTCCTTTCCCCCTGCCCCCCCCCCCCCACTGTGAGATCTCTCATATGAGATGCTCGCACGCTCGCGATATATTACTCGTCCCCGCGGG